GAGAAGGTAGTGGTGAAGGTGGAGGAGGAGGAGGAGGAGGAGAAGAGGAAGACGGCGAGCGAAGGCGACTCTGGCCCATACTGAAACGGTCACTAAAAGGCAACTTTCCAAAAACGCATTCCAGAACGAAAACCTCCCAAGAATTTTGACTGTTTGACCGAACACAACAACCACGCACACAATAAAAGAAAAGAAGAAGAAGAAAAAAAGAAGAGAATATAAGTAACAAAAGTGATGCGCGGACCCTGACACAATAATGCTGCTTCTGGTCCAGAAATTTCTCGGAATCGCTGATGGATAATTACGTGGCCAACATTTTCAACCGTTTTCCAGAATTATTCATATTCATCCTCCTGCTGCTTTTCAGGAATACGAAAGAAACTCTCCGCATCTTAAACTAATATTGTTTCCACGTACTTCACATTGAATTACATTAGTTTCATTTAATTGACATTCCTTAAAACTTACAAATGATAATGTTAAAATATTCATTTAATTATTTTTATAATAGAATATTTTAAGTTTCTTATTAAAATCCATTAAATATATATTTCAATAAACATTATAATATAATGTAAACATTTCATTTGACGTTGAAAATTAGTTTTTTTTTTTTGGAAATTTGCATAAACAATTAAAATTTTAAATTCTCCAATTCACTTTTGTTAACAAAAGTAGACTTATCTATTATTGTTTTTTTGTTAATTTCATATTGTTTTTATCTTAATTATAGAAAAATGAATGGTATTTAAATGCACGTTCATAATCAAAACAAAGTAATTAAGATATTTGTTTAATTGCGTCTTCAATGATAAACATTTGATTTGACGTTCAAACGAAATGTTTATATTGCAATTTAAACAAAACAATTGTCGGATTCTTTCAACTAAAAAAAGAAAAAAATGCAAATTGAATGATATTTAAACTAAAAGATCAGACGGTTCGCGCGCTATTTGTTTTGTATAAATTTTGAAACATGTCCAAGCGTCTGGGAGCCAAGACAAACAGGTTGATGGTCGTCAATCAGAGAAATTGTCTGCGAACTGGAATTCAGTTAAAAGATGAAAAAAAAAAAATTATATATATATTCAAATCGATTCGTTGCTTAAAACGGTGCGGATATTTTTCTCGTCGGCCTATGCCTTTCATCAAGTTCATTAAAGGAATCCGATGGAAGTGGAGGAGGTGGAGGCACGGACACAATTCTCAAGGTGAGATTGTGCGAAATCTTTCCTGTTTAGAGCACCGACGCGATGCGAAATTCCTCAAATATTTGAACAGATTTAAAGCAAAGTGGATATCCTACAACAGACTTTCTTTGTCCAATTTTATTGGAAAGTTCGCATACCGACACCTCTTCCTTCGCGCGTTTCGATTGTCCATTCCAGCGCCGTGTCTTTCCATCGAGCTTTAATTGTTACTACCAATAACTTTGATTTGATAGGAACGAAAGAGAGAGAGAGATGCGTCTGCCTGTGGGTGGGACAGGCTTGGAAAAAATTACGCGCCGCGAGTTATTCGAATGGAATGCGATAATGCGGCGCGAGAACAAACAAACAAATTTATTATTTCGACGAAAGCGGGCGGACCTCTACCAAAAAAAAAAAATTAACAAAACAACAAGAGAGAATAAATGAAGGGCGTTGTTTGATCGAGTGGTAATAATGAATCGCACCGAATTAGGTTTGAAGAACAAAACTGCGTTTGTTCTTTGATCTTCACACGGGAAATACGCATGAAAATCAAAAGGAACACGACACATGGGAAACAACAGCAAGAGAAGAATAAAATTTGAAGAAGAAAAAAATCGTGCACGTGGGAATTGTAGTTTTAAACTCACGGTACAAATGATATCGTTCACCTCTTGTATTTCTTTAATATGAAGACAACGAACAAGATTTGGGAAAACCTTCTGGGGTCAGGAATACATAACAGTTGTTCCGCAATTTACGAAATATGTTTACCATCCCGCATACCACACGTTCGCCAGCTGATAAGTCGGCTGTTATCAACGAAATAATTGTATATACGACATCATCATCGTATATCCAAATGCGGACAAATAGATACATAAATGCACGCACGCATATGTCGTGTCGTGTCGTGCGAGGAGCCGCTCATGCATTATTTAATAACACCGAGGCGATTATTGTTATTACCCGAAATGGAAATAAGTCGAACAGGAAACAGGAAATACCGCCGGGTCGGGAGAAGAATCCGAAGTCGCCACACGAAATGTTAATTGTCCAATAAATGTAATGCGTCTTTAATGCTCGACGGAGCTCTTCGGATTACTAATTAATTACGTAAATACAGTGCGTTTCCTCTCCAAGCCCACCTCATTTACATGATCATAAGGTTCCACTGAAAACAACAAACACACTCGATTCAAACGCTGAATTCAACAGCATTAACTAATTAACAACTAATCCATTAAATATACGTATTCAAGCTACAAAACTAATTATAAGAATTATCCCAATAAATCTGATTTTTTGAACTTACTTGCATTAATTTATAAGAATTTGTATTTATCTATTATAATGAAATTGTTTAATATTTCCTGTGGATATTTCCAAACAAAGCAATTATACTTTTAGATCAATTCATTGCACCAAACCGACATTATCGCTGTTCAAGAATTATCCCATTAAATCTGTACGTTTTATTTCGCAATCGGTTATAAAATCGGTTAATATTTCCTGTTGAAGAAAAAAAACGATAATTCCAAACAAATCAATTATTTTTTAGATTAATAATTGAATCGATCCAATCCACCAAACATCATTAAATTTCTGTTTTCAATTTACAAAACTCTAATCGTAAAATAATATGTATTTATAGAGCAATTAATCAATGAAATTAATACTTCTTTCGTCGTTAAATGATAATTATATACATTTTTTTGTTAAAATATTTGTTTAATTAGAATTTTAAATAAGTTTTTCGTTGGTAAATATTGCATTAATAATAAAATTGTATTTGTGCGAATGTTAAATAAACTATGCAAAGTAGATACGAGAGATACGCTTAGAATAAGAACAAGCAGCAACAACAATATCCAGGAACTTTCATCTGAAGATGTTGTGCTACAAACGTACCGAAATCTTAGGATCTACGATCACCGTAGCCATCTCGTCTCCTCTCTTCCGGTACGATTTAATTACGTTCGTTCCTTTCCCCTTTCTGGATGGACGTGCATTGTCTGAACTGCATCAATTAAATGTTATGAGCCGACTAATGGGGTCCCAACTGTGAGAGCATCCGCTCGTCGAGTCCACGGGACCCCCCTTTGGGGGAAGAGTGCGAGTGAGAGAAGACGGACAAACTATGTACAATCAGTTCCAATGAGACAAAAATACTCTCAATCTCAATTAAATGATTAATTAACGTCCACCTCTTCCTCATCCTCTTAGTTTTGAATAAAAACATAAAGCACGTAAACAACAAATATTTGTATGAAAGAGTTAAGAGTATTTTAGTTTAAACAACTCCAATGAAAACTCGATTTCACTAAATAATTAACATCCATCTCTTTCACATATTTAAGAACAAAACCATAAACCACATAAACAAAATGTGTCAACATATGTATGAACAATTGTAACATCAATCAGGTCAAAAGAAAAATGTTGAATCCCAATTAAACGCTTAATTAATTTCCATCATTTCCTCATCCTCATAGTTAAGAATAATTCTATAAAGCACGTAAACATCAACATCGATATTTGTATGAAAGGGTTAAGAGAATTTTAGATAAAAAAAGACAACTCCAATTAGGTCCAATGAAAAATACTCAATCCTAATTAAATGCTTAATTAATGTCCATCTCTACCTCATCCTCTCAGCTAAGAACAAAACCATAAAGTACAGCAACAACTAAATTTTGAAATAACTGCATGAAAATTTTAAGGCAATTTTAGCTAAAAACTTAATTTCATTGAATAATTAATTAACATCAATTTAATTCACATATTTAAGAACGAAACCATAAAGTACATAAACAACAACCATACGAAAATGTTTCTACATATATATGAAAACTTTATGATAATTGTAACTAAAATGCAACATCAGTCAGGTCAAATGAAAAATATTGTATCCCAATTAAACGCTTAATTAATTTCCATCATTTCCTCATCCTCATAGTTAAGAATAATTCTATAAAGCACGTAAACATCAACATCGATATTTGTGTGAAAGGTTTAAGAGAATTTTAGATAAAAAAACACAACTCCAATTAGGTCCAATGAAAAATACTCAATCCTAATTAAATGCTTAATTAATGTCCATCTCTACCTCATCCTCTTAGCTAAGAACAAAACCATAAAGCACAGCAACAACAAAATTTTGAAACAACTGCATGAAAAATTTAAGGCAATTTTAGCTAAAAACTTAATTTCATTCACATATTTAAGAACGAAACCATAAAGTACATAAACACCAACCATAAGAAAAGGTTTCTACATATGTATGAAAACTTAATGATAATTGTAACTAAAATTCAACATCAATCAGGTCAAATGAAAAATATTGAATCCCAATTAAACGCTTAATTAATTTCCATCCTCATAGTTAAGAAGAAACCCATAAAGCACGTAAACAACAGTAAGACATTTAAAAAGTACTTTAGTTGAAGTTGTTTGAATCGATGGGTTATATTTAATGAAAGTTAAGGAATTTACTTGATCAGAAGAGGAAAGGATAACAGATCATTGGACTCACGAATCAGTTGTTACATTGCGATCGCGTTGCGTCATTTGGATTTCGTTTCCCCTTTTTTTTGTATATACATATATTATTTTTTTCTCTCTTTTGAAGTAAAAACCTCCTAGTCCAAATGATTTACAATAAAAACGTTCCGAATTCCAGAAATGTTTACATGTTAATGTATTCACGGGGCCCACGGACGCCGGTGTCGAGATACGGACAAAACGAGGTTTTTTTTTTCTTGTTTGTTTTTGAGTATAGTGTGTGTATGTGTATTTTGATGTTTTTACCTGTTGCTGATGTCGGCGACGTACTGCTGAGGGCCATCGTCTTCTTCTGATGCTTCTGCTGATGCTGTGTCTCCTGGACCATGGTGGCCGCTCTCGACAGCACCTCCAATGGTGACTCGCCTCCCTCCATGTCCTGGAATGGAATGCGGGGTTATCACTCACAGCTTCTGACTAACTCTCATCCACACACAAATGCATACACTTGCAGCACATACAAATACATATAAATACGTGTGTGTGAGCGTGTGTGTCTGTCCTCTCTGTGATAAAAGGCGACCTCATTCAAAACGTGAGCCGCTCATTTAAAAACAGAAAATGCATTCACGACACTCTTTAAACTACTCCACATTCCAAATCGAATCTTTATTATTGATTGGGCACCGGCAAAAAGGATTCTTCATCTAATTATCTACGTGTTGTTCCACCTGTGATCCCCACACACACACATCACGGCACACCTCTGCATCCATTTAAAACGCGCGAGATAGTAACGAGCTGTTAAAGTCGTCTCCACCATTATAACATTTCACAATAAAATAGAATTACTTTTATCTTTGTTAATATTACTTTTCGATACTTTTCTAATAAAAGTAAGAACATTTTCAGTATCGCACTTGAATTCTACTTTGATTGATTTAAACTATAATATTATAATAATATTTAAATTGAAAGCGTTTAAAGTAATTTAAAACTTTTATTTTATATTGTGTTGAGTGTTATTTTCACTGCTCGACCTAATCTAGTCGCATATACTTAAGCAGCGTTGATAACGGTTCACAAAAGTCGAAGGATTTTAGCTCAATATTATTAGTTTTAGTATAAACGAGCACGAAAAATGGTATTTGCTCAATTCGCTTTCGATACGCCCCGATAAGTCGAAAATTATGCTTTATCTTCTGTTTACTGAATACCTTGATATAAAAAGTAAATAGTTGTACTCGTCTATTGCATCTTTGATTAAACACGAGTGTTACGTAACTGTTGCTTTTAGACTGTGAAATAAACGTATTTTTAAAGAATTATACATTTTTTCAAAATACTGAAAGCTACAAAGTTTTCTATCAAACGTATTTGATTATTGTTTTATTGATGGAGCAATTTCGTGCTGAGGCAATTTTAAACAAATTAGCTAATTAGCATTCATGTAGGTTACGAAAATTAAACTCTCGAAGTAATTGTTACCATGTACTGTGCGGTCTGCGACAAAATCGCGATCGGAATTAACAATTAAATCGCTTAATGAAGACATACTTCCACTTCGGTTTGGACGACGGATCGAGGCCTTTGCCTTTTTAACGACACACCGCTTTACACATGCAAGTCATATCGCGTGTGCTTTCCTACCTCCTGCTCTTCGTACAACCGCGTCCGCCCGAATATGCATGCACATTCGATAACAACAAAGAAAGAAAGATTGAAACAAAACGAAGAGGACATTATTACAAATGAAAGCAATTATGATGTTATGTGTTCAATTTCGAAATCGGAAATCGGTCATATCTGGAGCAAACTTGCATACACGTACGCTTCGCAATGGCACTCGAAGAAGGAAAGCGATTAAAATGTCTCGGCCCGACACCACTTTGGCATAAAACGACGATGCGGATCTCCTCTCTCGCCGAAGAGATTTATAGCCCAATGAAATGGCAGGAGGATAAGAAGAATCAAAATGGAAATTCGTAGCAATTCGATCTCACGACAATTAATTTCCCAGGCCACGTTCCGTTTTTATTCAATCCCGTATACGCCGTTTATTTCCGTCTTCTTCGCCGTTTTCACGTACCATTTGGTTTATGTGTGTGCACAGCCTTCGCGCGGATGTTCTTCTCTAGGCCGAGGAGAGGTTCTTGTAAATAGGTAACTGCTACCATCATGAGTTATGCATGGTGGTTGAGCTATCGCCACTATCCGTTTTTTTTTTCCACTCTTTTGTCCCTCTTTGTGCGACCGGGGCAGGTGGTGGGTTATTTATTTATTTTGTTATGTGCATACGTTCGTGCTCGTTTCTTTTTTGAAGAGCCATCAAAAACCACCTGCTGTTCGGGACGGAATTAAAAATTGGACACGTGCTTATTTCGTACGCACCGCAATTTGCGAAAAGGACGCGGAATTCGTTTTGTACAACATTTATTCTTTTGCTTCTTCCTCCTTCTATTTACCTCGCGCTACACGTGTCATGTGTGGATGCATTTATTGCATATGCAACGTACAACTGCATATGTACGTACACGAATAATGAATGCATTCACGTGAACTGACGTCGTCCTGAGGAGCTGAGTGTTCCATATCAGTTCACGAAAGTTATAATGTGTGCAGCACATGAGACGAAATATGATGTTTATACACATTAGCCTTCTTCCTCTCTTGGTAATGTTCTCGCATGCCACGGTTGGAAGAGGAAAAAAATTGAGGAGACGTAGGGGAGACGCAGCAGCAGCAGTCATGCTTGATGGACAACCCCTCCCTGCCAACCATTTCAAAAGGACAACTTCATTTTTACAGATTATGTTCACTAATACCTAGAAAACGCATTCTTTCTTTGAAAAAGAATGAAAAGAAACGAGTCTTAATTATAGAAAAAAATACTTGTCAAAATGACATCAACCCCAAATTCCACTTATACCTAGTTAATTAATTAAACAATAACTTAACTTAAACAACTATGTACTAATCGCACATCGTAATAAAGAAATTAATACCAAACAGATGACTTCACTTCATTTCACGAGCTGATAAATGCAAATCCTTCCTGGAATCTATTAATGTACAAATGCACATTGCGTGAATCAGTCTAATACCAGTAGCTGCATAAACAACAATTTTGTTAAATTAAAAAAAAAAACTTGTTAGCTCCAGCCTAATTCTAGTCGTGTCCAGCTTTAATTAAAACGATTACCATCATTTTACCTTTTCGGATGATTTGACGTTACCCGACTTTAACTGCTTAATTACTACCTTAAAAGGTAAACCTGACCTGAGGACCACGGTAGTCTGACAACCATTATTTACCCATTATTTTTATATATATATAATTGAAGGTTTTTAAGATCGATTGACAACATTTTTCTTATTTATTCTTGCTTGTCAAAATTCAAAGACACTAATAAAGACACATTGTCAATCTTCCGTCGTAACACAAAAAAAATTCAAATTGTTTGAGAAATATTGAATGAAATAACTTTTATGTTAATTCCAAAGTCACGCAATTGAAGGCTTTGCTGCAACAGCTCTTACTATGTAATTAATGTACACACACACACGCTGTAGTAGTGTGTATAAATATAAAAGATTATCTAACATTGACAATTAAGAATATGGTTAAAAGGGATTTAGTAAATATAACGATTATATGGATGATTGGGTCTGTAGCCGAAATGTCTATTAAAATGTTTAAGCAAGTTCTGCTATTTACTTGCTAAATGAAAGTAAATATGTACACAGTTTATGGTCACCAAACCAAAGCAGGTACTCAAAGGACAAATTGTATTCGATGTAATGGGAATACGCAACAAGCGATATAAATTCTGAAACTGCGTAATAAACTTTGTGTATAACTGCAGATATTTATGTATTTTCTTGCATCCATAGTCGAAGCCAGAGATATTCTCCTTAAAGAAGATAAGCGGAAGTCTTTTTGCCTAAATATAGAAACATACCCCTACATTAAGTCCAGATGCTACTTCCACTGAATTCTACAGTCTTTTTTTTTCACTTTTTATAACGTACTTCTATGTATTTTGTATACATTCACCATGCGACTAAAAGTATTAACTTTTATTAAATATTAATTATTTCTTTACAAATATGTAACATTTACATTATAAATAAATTGGAATACAATATTCTAATTATGTAAGAAACTATACATTTTCCGAAAATTGATAAGAGTTGTCAATAGCGTTTGAGACTTTCGTTACCATTCCTACTGTTTACGCAATTATTTGCCATTATGGGTCGGTTTCTGTCAGCAATTAGAGTAATTGCACAACGTTATTGATAGTTTCAGCAATTAGATGAGCGCGACAAAACAACACACATACAAAAAAAACATTCCATAGCAACCGAAAACGGGGAGGCGATGATCAATGGAAAAGGTCTTGTTTAGAATATCCATTAGTAGACGCATGAAAATATTCGCAACATTTGATTTTTCCGAATACCGGTGTCAAGGCCGCTTTCTGCAAGTAGCAATAATTTTATGAGAGCACGCAATTTTCCGATCGAGCGGATAAATCATAATAAAATATGAATGAATGAATGAATAAAAGAGCAGCCCTCTGGAACTAATTACAATAAGTTCAATTGCGAGGTGAAATTCCGCAAAAACAATGCGATTCAAATGAGAGAAAAAAAATAAAATAAACAAAGTGAATATAATTAAATGAATTGACGACGCGTGGAAAATCAGAAAATCAATACGTTCATTTATATATAAATATGCATATTAAACTTATGTTGTTGTTTTTTTCTTTCGGTTCGAGCCATTGCGCAAAACTTGTTTAAATCGTGAAATTGAAATTCGTTTAAAAGAATCCGCGGAATGTGACCTCAATTGTTTTCTTTCTTGTCCCCTGGTTTTTTGTTTTCTGTTGCCTGACGTTGTGTGTCTGCGTTTAAAATTAAAAGTTTATGAAATAAATATTTTCTGCTTGTTGTTGTTGTTGTTTGTTTTCGGGACAAGACTATTTTTTTTGTTTGTCTTGTGAAAAAGGATCATGTTTGTGCTTGGAAAAGTTGTTTATTGAATTGACCGGTGGTCGGTGGTTGTTTTATTTTTGTTTTCAGCCACCCCGAAAATCGATGCAGAGGGAGATCACGTGGTGGAGCAACCCCCTCGGTGTACGGTGTTGTCCATGGCACTCACCCCAAATTCCTTCTGCACCAAGACACGGAGTTGCTAACACTGCCACCGAATATCCAATGCGGGAACGGAACTATTCAAATTGTTTGACACTATTTTGTGCACCGACGAGTACAATTGTGCGAAGAATTTGACATTTCGGTCAAACCTGCGATTGTGGTATTCGAAGAATCCGAAGTATTTACTTTGAAACCCCTGCTGGAAAACGCGCCAACTAAACGACCAGGTTCACACGACACCAGTTCTCTAAGCGTGAGGATGACCGATGACACAGGACGACGTTCCAGACAATGCGGACGATGGGGACGCAATGCGCGGAACACGCTCGAAATACCTGGAAACTATCGACGGTTTCGTCGGATTCCAATTGGAAAATGCCGAATTTAGGACAGTAGCGAGTTGTGCGTGTTGATTGCGGCTTCGACGCGGATTCGTCGGCTCCGATCGACGCCCGTTCGCTCCGCCTCGGAGGCCGCCTCTTCGGAAAGCAGTTTCGAGCGCAAACGGGATTTCAGCCGGCTCGATTTCTATTCATTTATTGAGCGCAAACATCCGATACCAAACTTTTATTCCTTCAGACCATCACGCAGACGCCATCCGATCCCGCACTATTTCCCATTCAAAAATACGATCCTTATCACCTACATACCAGCAATACCTCCAACGAATATCGTACTAAGTTGTACAACTGTCTTTCCCATCCACAAATTCTTCTAAACATATCCACCTATCTCCGTCAATAACTGCAACTCCTTAATCTAATAGTTTCAAGCAAATTTCACAGCAAAACCTGAAAGCAATTCATACAATTAAACATAATAATATTAACGATATTATACTGACACATTCCAAAGGATATAGGTGTAAGATATGTCACATAATCACACTTCCTTAATGCTTTATTATGGACTAAACAAAACTTGATCTTACATAAATAAATCGCTAAGCCTTAAAAAATATGAGAATATTAATTACCGACATAATAGAGGTAGTAATTAAAGCAGATTTTTTTTTGAAATATTTTAAGCATGTGATTTACACTCTTAACTTTATTCCGAATCAGACATATCCATGATGGTCTGCAAAGAAAATTACGTATTACAAAAAATAATTCGATTACTTAAATTTAAGATCTGAGTTACGTTATCCTTCAGTGTGTACATCTCGGTCAGACCGGTCATATCTTCGAGCACCTGAGAGGAGTTAAACACGTTCAGCAGGAACTCGAAACCTTTGGTACGGTATGCCTCGACGATGCTGTCGGAACACGCAATGCATTGGTTATACTTTTCTGTAGCTGGGAGAACCTGAGTGAACGTGGAAAGGAATCCTCTTAACGAATGCGGCAATACCCCCAAAATGCAATCCTCTACAGCAGAATCTTCACAGATTTCCGCCGACTTCTGCATCTTATAGTAAGCCGGGGCAAAGCCTCTGCAAAGAAAGATTTAAAAACGTGTCCAAAATTGTTATAGATATTAACCCCAATTTATGTTGCAATATTGATATAGCGAGTTCGACTACTAAAGCTCCAGCAATTTGACTTATGCCAGGTCTGGTGACTGTGCATTGCTGATCTAAGCTCCTATCTTTCAGAGACTGAAATTGAAAAGTATTAACATTAAATTGTTAATTTTATCGTCAAGACTTTACATTTCCCGGTGCTGTTATATCGTTGCAAAAGTAACAACCTAAATTGTTGCCTTTGATCATTTTGAATCCTTTGACGTTGTTAGAGCAATTTTGCGTTTCTCCGCGTACGCCGTGTCTCATAACTAGGTACGTATCGAAACCCAAAGCTGCGTTCAAAACCAATTTCCCGTAGACCAATCCAAGTAACGTAGGCAACCATCTGGATTCTCTAGAATCCATCAGAAGGAACACCACATCAGACTCGACGATCAGATCACGCAACTTGTCGACGGTTTCTTTCGTATGTTCTAAGGTGCTTTCGCCGACCGGGTGACCGGGCATGGGAATCGTCAAGTTGTACCCTTCGCTCTCCTAAGAATCGATCAATCAGTAATTATCGAACAACAATGGGGAAACCATCATCACTCACAACTCCTGGAAAAATCTTCTTCAGATTATCAGCGGCGGCTTGAGCTTTCGGCTTGCCTGCTACGCAGTCTTCGTACGTGAACAGACTCTGCCTGACGGGATTCGAATATGAAACAGTCGAGTTATCCACGAACTTGATCTGCCTCACGCCCCAACCCTACAAACAAAATAACCACATTTAATAACTCTTCCCACAATAAATAAATATGTGTTAACACGTACCAAAAGAACTCTGGCCACGGAGCATCCCAAAGTCCCTGACCCAAGCAAAAGGCATTTAGCGTTTTTGATCTTCTCCAAATCGATGTCAGGCAGTAAACGCCACTTCATCAATTTTAAATTCAAATCTACCGCAGTTTCAGCCAAACTGAAACATCGTTCGATTATAACTAATTGTAGAATAAAAACAAATAAATTACCATTGAGGATCTATGGAACTTTTCAGATTGACCATTCTTGGACCCATTTTTCCTCTTTCGTTGCGTTCCCAGCCAATCCAAGCCTCAGGTTTGCCGAATTCTTCCGGTAAACTAGCACGAATCAACAAACTCTTCAGCAACGATATTTTACCATTTTCGCGGCTTACACGAAACGAAAGAAAATCTACTTGTTTTCCTCGAAGTTTATCACTAAATCAAACATATGTCATTAACAAATTAACCAATTCGTATGTAAAGAAACTTACCAATAATACATTAAAAATAACATAAAGTTCTTTAAAACCCATCCAGAGTATTTAGGATCAAAGCACGCGTCAGAAAACGCCATGTAATATTGATCCAAAGTATCCTTCAAATCAACAACTGCTTCCAAATGCTTCATCTCAAAATGTTCCTTGTGGACTAGGAAAAAATGCTTCTGATCTTCACATAAATTTGAGTAATTTACATATAACTGGTCCATCTGTGAATAATCCAAATAAACAATCAAAACTAACGTAAATTGTACAATTAATTTACCTGATCATTATTGAATTTTCCACTTATATCTTCAATAACATTCAGTTTCAGATTAACATTGGAAGGTGCAGGAAACCCAAACCAATAATAATAGTTGTACTTTTTGAGATCCTAGAATGTAATATAATGCAATTAGATTATTGTTAAATAATAAATTTAACACTTACAGCAAATGAAAGGACAACAAAAGAATTCAAAAGACCTGGGCTTTTCAGACACTTCCCATTAATAATGTTCTCCCAAATCTCATCTCCAGAAGCCTTAATTAAACCCATTTTATCACAATCTTTAAAGTTCTCAATGGTATTCTTATTGAACAGTTTGCCAGCAACTGCTAATTGCCCCTTCAAATCAGCACCTTTACTAAAAAAAAGAGAAACAAAAAAAAGTTAGGATTATTATAACAATATTGTATATAGTTGATAGTCCAATTATTATGTTTTTAGTGATTGTTATTTTGTGTTGCTTACATATTGAAAGAAGTACTGTCCACTTCAATAAAAGGTGAAAGTTGAGACTCGATATATGAATAGTAACCCCATATGGAGCGACCCTTCTCTTCCAGCTTATCAACATCTAATTTGATTTCAGTGTATTTATTCCAAAAGCTATGATTAATGCAGGAACTGAAAGGCACAAACTGCAACAATTGAGATTGCTCCATTTTGAATATAAGTAACGAATAACTGCAAATAATTTCACGCCAAAGTATCTAATTTAAGCAAATTTTTTTTTAAATATATACAATATCTTGTTAATCTTTTGACGACTTTAAAATAAATATTACTACTTCATTTCTATGCTATTATAACCGCAACAACTTCATTTGACAGATTTGTTGTTTGTTGGAAGGCAACCTAACGTACAATCACTCAAACTATTAAATAATTAATGTGATATTATTGCCGTATTTTTGCTATTTTCATCTGTTGTTGGTTTAAAGGTGGGTTTATAGAATATCTAATGTTTATTATCATTAATTTGCGTATTCTTATAGGTGTTTGTTGACAGTGGTCGTCAGCTGACAGGGGAAAATATAACCTAAATGTTTTGACAAAACGGAAAGAATGTCAATGTTTCGGACTTTCAGTAGGAATTTTCCCTACCTGAGGCAACAGTTCGCTGCGCTGCTTGGAAATACTAGTACAGCGGTGAAGTTCATCTGTGCAGTAGTACTAATAAGTTACTGTTTTTCATTTTCTGATGGAGCCATCAATATACTCTCTGTCACACCTGGACTTCTTATGCCCCCATCTTTCTGGCTGTGGACAGCGTTCACGTTCTGTTTTCTAGAGGTCCATTTCTGGGAGGTGCTAGTGGACATTGTGACTGTGGGACTCTGCGGGAAGTTAATTGAACCATTATGGGGGCAACAAGAGATGCTGACATTCTTTGCTGTGGTCAACTTGGGTGTAGCTGTTATAAGCACTACATTCTACCTGTTATTATATATGTGCACATTTAACACTGATCTACTATTCACAGTACATATTCATGGATTAGCAGGCTATATTGCTGGTGTTTCAGTGGCTGTTAAGCAGATCATGCCAGACCTTGTCTTGATCAAAACACCAATGGGAAAATTAAGCAATAGGGATGTTCCCTTGATGGTATTCTTTCTGACACTTGTTGTTTGGTTGATTGGTTTGTTGGAGGGTACCTATCCTACAATGTTCTTGAGTGGATTGTTGGTCAGCTGGGTGTACCTGAGGTTCTATCAGAGGCACAGCAATGGCAGCAGAGGAGACATGGCTGACTATTTTACATTTGCAAGCTTCTTTCCAAACGTCATCCAACCACCTATAGCGCTTGTCAGTAATACAATACATGGAGCATTAGTTAAAGTAGGTATTTGTAGGAAAGTTGTGAGGAGGTTTGACATTTCCAATCCAACTGGTGTCACCATATCAGTGCCAGGAGCTGATCAACATGATATGGAGAGGAGAAGGTAATATCGAAAATTAAACGTCTCCAACATTTATATTATATAAAATTACAACTATTTATTCCAGACAAATTGCTCTCAAAGCCTTAAGTGATAGACTATCAAAGTCGCACCATCAAGACAAACAACCACTACTTCCAAAGACAAATAATCCGAAGATCGGCAGATCCACGCAATCATCGTCAATTCCTTCAACGAGCGGAGTCCAGGTTCATCCAAGCAACCCGGTCATAAGTCCAACGATTACGCCGAAAACGTAATCTCCGCTACTAGCCGTAATTGCTACTAGCTATTATAACTACATCTAATAACTCTAACTTATATAAAATAATTACATTTGAAATATTTAGAATTTTAATAATAATGTTACTTTATTTTGTAATGAATATGTTTAAATGAAGAAAAACGATGATAAAAAAAAAAACGGAAAAATTAACTGAATAAACATTTAGTTTCTATAATAACTTTTCTATTTAATTGCCCCATCTTGTCTAGCTTAATAGAAATTATCTTTGATGATGTAACATGTTTTTTGTTAATATCAAATATTTACACAGCGATAAAAATAATTTAAAACTGAAATTGTAAAAAGTTAAGCAAATAAAATGGTGGGTCTCATCTGAAGTATTGGTTGTTCGTCCATTGCGGGGGATGGGCGTTTGTGTAATCGTATTGGTTCTGTCTGCTTTGACCTTGAACGTTCTGCGATGCATACTGCGGGTTTCCAGCTGCACCATTGTATGCTGGATAACTCTGCGCTGGGCTGTAAGCAGGTGGAGCTGCATAATACTGTGTCTGCTGAGGTGGCGGTATGTGCATAGGTGGCAGTGCCGCCTGGTTGTAGTTAGAGGCTTGCTGGTATTGGTTGTAATAGCCTTGTGGTTGAGTGTCATGCACTATGGGGGCGGTATCCTGGATGGGCACGGTGATCAGATTGGTCCGCACGCCGCTTGAACCTATCGCGTTCTGCCTTTGCCTAACGTTGCTGGGTATAGAAATTGGACCTCTAGGATCACCAGCTTTCGATCTGGCAGGTTGCCTTTCGGGTTCCTGCGTTTCCATAGGCTGCACCGCTGCCGATACGTGCCTATGATTAATGTGCGCTTGCAAATCCCTCTGAGACAGGTACGTCCTGCGACAACCATTCGAACCGTACCGTGACCCTCCATGAGTACACATGAAAACTGTACCTAAACCAGTTTGCTCCACTCTGGATACTTTATCGGAACATCTTGGACACTGCTTCTGTTCCTTTTTACCACATTCCAAACAGAACACATGTTTGCATGGAATCTAAAAAAGATAAACAAAATAAATTTAAATGTATAAGCTTAAGTTTGATCATTACCATTCTGCCATAAATCAAAATTGGTTTTGAGCATTTATCACAGCAATGTATCATGGGATTGAGGACCTTCTCCCCAATGAGATTCACTTTGTGGCTCCAATCTAAGCGCAGCATTGGTTCAGGTGGACCTCTGTTGATTGTTGTGAAAGTGGGTGCCTCAAGTTGAGAAATATCAGCTTCCAAATCAACTGAGTGGAAAAACAAAACATATCAATGTACATATGACATATCTTTGACTTAAGCCTACTCACTTTTTGGCACAGTATTCTCATTGTTTTCTACCTCTTGCTGTGGAGGCTGAGGCGCCTCCTCAGCGCTCTCCTGACTTGGCAAATCAACTTCTTCGTCACTTTCAATCACCTTTATAGCCTTTTTACCTCTACCTCTGCCTCGACCCCGTCCTCTTCCACGGCCTCTGCCACCTCTACCCCTGCCTCTACCTCTTTTAGGAGCATCATCCATATCCAACAGATTACTAATTAAAAGCAGCTATCAATAAATTTCAATAAACTCTAATAATGATACAACCAGATACAACACCAACACTTTGATAGGTTATGTTTATAATACTTGTTGACATATAAGAATCAATTAATTGGAGGAAATATCACAAAAAAATTAACTAAATTTATTGATTATAATAAATTATTAATTAGCAATAGTAAAGGTAATTTAGGAATTGCTGAAATAACATCAAATAAGATCAATTTCAGTGTTGGTAGTCTTGATTATAAAAAAAATATGTTGGCAGTCATGTAGTCAAAAAATCAAATCAATTTTTTCTTCAGTTTGTTTGAATTTCATGCAGAAAGTCAGTTGGGACGAGTGACCGTTGATTGTTTGGTTGTTTGTTTTTTTTTTTTGAAATTTTGATGAAGAAACATTGAATGTTAATGTTAAGTATTCGATATGGAAGGACGAAAATTTAACAATGCTACGTCAAAAACCCTCATCACAAACATGCAGGAGAAGTTAAAGGCATCTTCGGAGAGTCCCTTCAGGATGAGATACAGCTTTCAAACGCCTCCGTCGAAGCTCGCCAGCAAAGTTAGGAACCCGTTCGAGCCGATGATGCAGGAACGATTGCACACGCATTTTATGAGGTGAGTATAGTATTAAATTATTCCACTATAGTTTATTATATATTAAATATGTACGTGTGTTTGCAGTCCTTCTGTGTTCGCTAGACGTACGCCTAAGAATGAAGAGAAATTTAAATGGACAATTGATGAACTCTCTCATATGAAACCTGCAGATATTGATGAAGACGTTATTAATACACCTGAGCATGACGTGGCTTTAGACACTATTGCCCAATCACAAATTGACAAATTCTTCTCTATGAGGGAAATTGTGCCTAGTCCTTACACCCACATGATGAAGTATAGTCCTCTAATAAAAGAAAAGAAGAATATTGATTCCATATCTCCTCCAGAGAGATGTGAGAGTTCAGCTCAAACAGTATTAACATTACCTCCAGAATTGCCTAGAGATTTGGAGGAGGCTTTGCAGCCCTTTTGTACTTATACCCAGGACCAACAAGGCACTGACACTGCAATGAACACTTCATTATATAGAAATTTGTTTGATGCGCCAGATGATGATTGTGGTAGCGTTGAGAGTTCGCCAAATCAATCAATTGTTTTAGACCTACCGCCATCGAACTTTTCTCCAATCAGTGGTGGTGTTTTTGGAGGCAGAACTCTGCCCAACAAATCCCTGAACGACGAGCTGAAAGGCTGTGATTTATCCCCTATTAGTTTCAAGCAAGAGAACAAGTCTGCAGTCAGATTGAACTTCTCTGATCATCACATGAGCATTGATACCTCTTTCACAGTTCCTGATACCTCTGTATTACCTGATAGAAGTTTAGAGAGTGGTGAGTGATGAAATTAATTACAAATCTTCAATTTACTTTATTCAAATCTCTTGTTTTATTTACAGAAGATATTAAGCCTTTGGAACAGTTCAATGATTCAACAGTTGACTGGGACGCGGAGTACAAGAAGCTGGATGCATCGAGCTGCAGCGAAATGGACGTCTCCAATTCTAATACACCAAAGTCGAGGAAACTGGGTGGACAGGCCAAGAATCTCTCGGATAGTTTTAACAAAGGCAGCAACGAAAAGTCTGAAACAGTAGTCAACGAGGCTAAAGCAATAGTTACGAAAGTGATCCAGGATGTGACTGACGCCGGTTACCAAACGGGCTGCACTTTTTCCGATGAATCGAACGTGTGGAGCGTCTCCAACATCGTCGCCTCCACGCCTACAAAATTAAAGATTCTCAATATGTAGTGTGATTTCCTTATATTTATTATTGTATTTTGTATTTTAAATTAATTTTAATATCGAAACGCGATTTTATTCAAATTATTTCTTAAATCTCCGCCACAACGGATATGTAAGTGATATTATTTAATTGTTCGATTGAATACAGTTGTGTTGTATTATAAATTTTAGATTTTAAGAACTTTGAAAATTTGTGCAATCTCTTTCTTTTTTTCTTGTACTGATGAATTTTAGCACTGCCATAACGACGAAATAAAGTATTTTTTTTTAAACTATACACTAACTTATTTTATTTAGTTATAGTGTATACTGTTTGATTTTATAAAAGTTTGAAGAAATTTTAAAAAAAATCTTATTACATAATTTCAAATATTATGAAAGTTATGGCAACACTGCTGTTGACCATCTGACAGCTGGTTGTCAGAATGAAGGGCTGATTTCGCCATTGTCGCTGATAAACCCTAAGGTAGTGGCACGGAGGGTCCGTGAAGTGAAGTTTTTGAATTGCAGTTACCAAAAGGAATTACCATCCGTCGGGTAAGTTGCATTCGTTACACGAATAATTTAAGAAAGGCGAAGAGCGCGGGATATTTGAGAGAGCAGCAGTTCTTATCATTGGTGGTGATTAGAGGTGGTTGAGAAAAAAAACGAGTAATAATATGAACGAAATCAAGTGCAGTCTTCTACTAATACTGTCTGTATGTCTTTCCCTCGAATCGGCCGGAGTTTTTTCTTCTCCCCAACAAAGAAATCGTCGCAGTATGTGTAGTTTTTGCGTGATCTTTTATCGTGCCAGAGACATTCTTTGCACAGTGTTCACCCATATAGTTTGTCGCCCCAACTGGAAAACGCATTCGTCGCAATTTATTGGGTTTTTTAAATCGTTCCTGCAGTACAGTGCCAGCATTCTCTTGAAACCTTATAGAACATTTTTCCAAATGTACAGCACACACAGCAACATGTCTATGGTAACAAGAACTGTAAGATGTGTATTTAAAAAAAATATGTTTTGTGCTTCATACTGCAGTGTACAATTTTTGAGTGTCCCATCATGATGTTGCAAATTGAATCATATTTGATTATTTTTTGTGCAGATCCATAGTCATTTTGGCTTCATGGACGGGTTACAACTCATAAACCCAACCATTCAGCCACCGACCGCCACAGCACACACAGCCGGCAGGCGCATCAGGAATCGTGTGTCTATGCACACGATCATTGCTGAGAAAATGTCCCTTGGCGAAGCTGCAAAATTGGTAAATGAATTCATTCAGTTATCAACCAAAAAAAAAAAAGTTCTAGATTTCCGTTATTGCGCTTTGCTCAAGTTGTATATTTTTTTTGGGTATCCTTTGTATGCATTCAAATCACTTTTAGGAGTTTGTTGGGGGGATTGAGAAACCTGTTTGTTATGAGGCTACAACTTCTTTTCTTTTTCCGTTCTTTTAAGGAGATGACTTCGATGCCTACAAAAACTCCTGTTTCGGTGCTCCAGGAGCTATTGTCGCGGAGAGGGATAACGCCCAAGTATGAACTGGTTCAGATCGAGGGTGCAATCCATGAGCCCACATTCAGATACCGGGTGTTTTTGAATTCGGAGTACATTGCGACGGGCACTGGCAGATCTAAGAAGGAAGCGAAACATGCGGCAGCCAAGAACCTGTTGGATCTTCTGATCGGTAAAATGACTGCAGAGCAAGCAAATCAAAACGCAAATGGTACACCTAACATCGTTGTGCCGATGCCACCCGAGAAGTGAGTTGTATTCTAATAAGTCAGATCTTCGGATAAGTAATGCAGGCTTTGTTTTAGCACGAACCAAGTGGTTTCACCTTACGATGACAAGGTGATGGGGAACCCTATAGGTTGGCTTCAGGAGATGTGCATGTCGCGACGTTGGCCGCCACCGGCCTACGACATGGAGCACGAAGAAGGTTTACCACATGAGCGTTCGTTTACGATAGCCTGTCAGGTGTTGAAGTTTAAGGAGATTGGCACCGGCAAGTCGAAGAAGATGGCCAAACGAATGGCCGCTCATAAAATGTGGCAGTCACTGCAGGACCTTCCCACGGAGGGTGCCATCACCCTCCCAGGATACGACGATTATGAAGAGGTGAGCCCGACCGCACACCATGAAAAAGTAATCATCTTTTTTTTTTATTATTTCATTTACATTTTATTATTATTTGAAAGGTTTTACTATCTTTCGGATCATTGTGCTTTGAATACATTATATAAATTATGCACAATTGAAATGCCACGTTGTATTGTATACTCCAGAACACACGGCTTTGGCAATGAACTTTCGATTCTGTGCGTTACATGGATATATTTACAAGAGAAACCGATCGTTCGAATCAATACATGTATATTGGGTGGCCTACGCTAAAGTTCTTCAAACTTTTAATACACCCGTGAGCTTTAGATTTATCTGATTAAATTTCCTCAGACACATTTAAAAGGTATCAGAAATTGGCCTAAGCAACCCATTATATCAAGATATTAGGACTTTTTGATTATTTGTATATGTTTTCGTGATTTTTGATTATTTGCTTAAAATATTGTTATAATCAGAGAAATCGGGATTCCATATAATATTTACTTGTTTTATGAAAGTGCATTAATGTTTACATTTGAACAAATCATAAAATTGTTGCTTTTAGCAAAACTAAAGTGCTTTAAAATATATTCATGTAATATGAAATTTGTTTTTATTGTTAACAGTGATGGATGCATTTGTTTAGTCATTTCAATTATGTATATTGTTTTAGTTGTTGGCACGTTTGCCAAATATTCACAGCCGATACGCAGGACTGAAAGATAGTAAAATAAGTACCCTACAAACGGCCAACAGCAACCACACGCATAAAATATCGCAATTCCATAAATACATGGCAAAAATCAATGGTCCCATTTTAAATGAGCTGCAGGTAAATTTAACACTCCTCATCTTTGGTAAATATTTTTGTTTTAATAATCATTATTTCTACTAAACAATCTTTGGTGATGGGTACCCTCCTTAACATCATTTCACATCATTGTTTTATAGCACTCTTTCCTTATTATACACATATTTATTCCTTATTATTATCAATGTGATATTACATTCAACCTTATGATAACTTTGTTGATGAAGTACAACAGCAGTATGAGAGGAAAGAGTGTTGGTGCAGTTAATATTAATAATTATGTGTGTATATAGGAAGATCGGCAATTGTGTAATTAATGTGGGTTTTCTTGTAGAATTCGATGTTGGCAAACGCGAAGGAGTTCTGCTACGTGCAGTTCCTCAAAGATTTAGCCACCGAGCAGAACTTCGAAGTGACATACGTGGACATCGACGAGAAGTCCACCACTGGTAAATATCAATGCTTAGTACAATTATCCACGTTACCTGTGGCCGTATGTTACGGATCCGCTGGATCCCCCAAAGAGGCACAGGCAGTTGCCGCGCGTAACGCTCTCGAGTATTTGAAACTAATGACCAGAAAATGAGCTGAGTTGGAACTGCAAGGAAGGAAGCGGACAGTTTACTACAACAGACACCGTCGTATCCAATAATATGGTTTTAAACAAAATATATACATGGGAAACCGAATCATATAAAACTAAAAACCAAAAAAATTACTAAACACACACACACAAATTATATTTAAAAACAAGAACCGGACACGTGTGGGAAAGCATCATTTAACTTATTTGCGAAATGGACGAAAGCAAAACAAATTATAACAATCGTCGTGTTCTTTTTATTATTGATTTATATGTACACAATCGATTGGATAGATTTTTATGTCTATTTTTTTGTTTGTTTGTTTTAAAATGATTGTCTATTTGTGTATAGTGTATACTACGTCTTTTCTCGACGTGTACACGAATTGCACTGCGAGAGGCGAAATGGTGTCTTTTTTTGCGTGTGCGGCTCCGGTGTTTAATTATGCAAAAACAAATGCAACAACAACAAAAAAAAAAACTTGTATTTACTGCAATTGTTGGGCGCGCAGGCCGCGACGGGCAATTTTCTCTCTTAGGGTAACACGTGAATACGATAATTGCGTGGCCCCGGGTCGCGCCGACCCTCATAGCTCCATCCCCCGAATTCATTTTTTATTGACTTGGATCAGGGCGGCGGAGGCTTGTTCGAAACGATCGAATCACACACGTTTATTGTTGTGTTATTAATTATTTATTTATTGAATTCGATGTTGTTTCTTTATTATTTTTTTTTGGACTTATATGAGGGTCGGCGCGACCCAAGAACCGAATGCCAATGACGATGAGACAAGCACGAAGTATCTACGATTTATGTAATCTACAAGCTATACTTTGCATAGAATTAGTGGTTTTTTTCGTGGAGATTTACGTTATATGTACAAATATAACACAAACTGTTTCTGTCATATGTGTAAGGACTTTTAGCATTATATATAAGAGATAGGGAAGCCGAAGACTATTGATTGGAATATAAGTATATGTGTGTGAGCCGCGGATTAAAAGAAATAATGAACACTACATGTGACTTAAGAAGTAATTGTAATTAAGCGTGTCTTCTTCGTTTACGGGAAGTACGTAAGCGTAGAGGGCGTGTCTCCGCTTACGTTACGATTGTTTCTTTCTTTGTTTGTACGTTATTTATTTTTTTTTATTGTTATTTTGTTACCCTTGACAACGCGGTCTCGGATTCCTTTTTCACGTTTTCGGAACGAGAAGATGCAAAGTCTTTCTCCCGTTTTTTTATGTATATCTTCCGAGAAACTTATGTATTGAGTATGAATAGTCAGCATAGCTTAGGCACAAACCGTATGTTGCAATCTATGTGCGTAACTAGCTCATATCTTCTTTATGTAAGGCGAACGTGCGTGTACTCCGATGTGTGTTCTGTTTCTCATTGATATATATACAATGTTTGAAGCGGCAATGTTTGAAAAGAGAACAAGCAAAGTATATTAAAAACAAAAAAAAAGTATATAAATATATATATATGTAAAGAAATATTATATATGATAAGAATGTGCCCTGCCAATGTTCGGGGAAAAGGGCATTTATTTAATGCAAAGTATAGAGGTTGTAACTTTTTACGTTAATTTTAGTAATTAACATATATGTCAATAGGTGCGCAGATCTTTACATAAACATACAGATTTATGAAGAAACAAATATGTATATATATTACGTTTCTTATTGAAACAGTATATGAAAAAAAAAATAACAGAAAGAAAATGTTGCGGATTTATTATGTTTTTCAAAATTGATGTGTAATTTTTAACCAAATCAACCAATAACAAAGCAATGGAAACACTTGATGACGGTACAGATTGACGAATCAGCCTATCGGCGTCGTCTTGCAATCGGCAAGTTCCGGCTGCAAATCGGCGGTTTTCGCTCTTTGTTTCGTTCTATATTTTACGTACATGAATTTTTGTGTTTTCCCCTGTTTCGTTTCGATTGACTTGAATTAGATGTTTTTTGATATATATATATTGTCAGAATCGACGAGGAGAATATGTAATTTGGATGTAGTTCTATTTATTATTATGTTAAATATTTTTCTCAATTTATGCCCCCCTCATCTCCCCCAACCCCTACTGTTTCAAAAACAGACGTTATTAAAATACACTCCCATCCCCAAAATAAACCGAAATGTTTACGTTCTGAGAATGATTTCGGCACTTTTATTATTAAATTAAAGAAAGAAAGATAAAAAAAATGTTATACATGTGCATTTAAAAACAAATAGTATATGGTTCAATATTGATGTGTATGCTAATTAATATAATATATACATTAATCGCAAAAAGATTAAAAGAAATATAAGATGTTGTTTTATTACCTTTATATTAAAATATTTACCTTTACCAAAATTTCAATGAATGAGAATCAGAGTCAGCCTTGTATGTGTCAAGATGTTGTTTGTTTCGTAGTCTTATCAAAAAAAAAAAATATGGCTGCTCTAAATTTGTGTAGAAAAATCTGTAGTGTTCATTGTAGGTCTTCGGTGTTGAGCATCACCGGAGCTCGGTATTCGACGAAAATCTCATATCTGAAAGTGACGTTATGTGGAGCTGCAGGTACTTTATTTCTTTTTAAAGAATTCAAACGCTGGCTACATTTTCCAGATCTGTGTGTGTGATGTTTTAAGGGAGCGTCGGTCAACCCCTAAGTCTCATGTTGAAGCAGTCCCCGTACATCGACGAGTTGGCCCTTTTCGATAAGAAAGGCACCAGCGGTTTGGCTCTGGAGCTGAGCCACATCGACACCAAATGCAAGGTCACCTCGTATCAGCCGCCTACTGCAAGTGAAGCATTCCAAGTGAGAAATAATTATTTTGATTGAACTTTCTTTATAAGTTATTTACACATATTTCCAGAATGCAAGCGTCATCGTGATAGTTGCCGGACAACCTTCGGCCCAAACCTCAGATGCTTGTCGTTTGTTTGATAAAAATGCCCCAATTATGGCCGAGATGGCCAAGTACATTTCCAGTTACGCCCCATATGTAAAGTGTACACCTAAAAACCATTTTATCTTTTAATTTTTGAAAATTTCAGGCGATGGTCGCTGTTGCTTCAAATCCAATTGATGGTATGTTACCAACGCTCTCTGAAGCTTTGAAGCACAAAGGTACGTATGATCCTGCAAGATTGTTCGGCGTTACGACTCTTAACGTCGTTAGAACGAATACATATGTGGCGGAGGTGCTAGGCTTGGAAGCGGAATGCGTTGTTGTCCCGGTGATCGGTGGCAACATAGGCGGTAATATAATTCCCATCCTGTCGCAAGCGAAGCCTTGCAACGATTTAACTGAAGTATATAATATGAATTAATCGCATTAACCAAAAATGTAAACTGATGTCGTTTAGGAAGAGGTGATTGATATAACGCGTAAAGTGCAGAATGCTCACAATACGTCGAAAACTATGAAGACTAACGTGGGCGAAAACTTGTCGATGGCGTTTTCCGTAGCCAGATTCACCATATCCCTGATAAAAGGTATACAAGGACACAGTGATATCGTCGAGTGCGCTTTCGTGAAGACCAGCATTCAGCCCTTAACGGAATATTTATGTATACCGGTGTTGCTGGGACCAAGTAAGTCATTGCATTATTACAACATTTCTTATGACTGATCAATATTATTCCATGTAGATGGAATTCAAAAACATTTAGCGCTCCCCGAACTCTCGGCCTTTGAACAGTGCCAGCTGGAGTCGTCCATGGAAGGGCTGAAGAGTTACGCGATCCGAGCTCGCAGCTTCTTGGGTATAAAAGAGAAGAAACCGTGCGATCCCTGTGCTGTCAAACTCAAAGTACCAGAGTGTCCAGAAGACATGTGCGCCAAAGCTAAAAATTGATAATGTATCTCGACCCCCCTTTTTTTGATTTTAATAAATCTTTGTTATTAAAAAAAATTACATACCTTGTTACATTCATTAAATATGTTCTGTTTATATTTCTTTATTATATTAACTAATTTTTTTTAACGCAAATTATATAAGACAATATTCGCACATTTTGGATCTTTTTATTTCACCTAAAATAGTTTACATACCCATCTTGTTGGTTGTTTTTATTTTATTTGTTTAGTTTATGTAAAATATTTTGTTTTTAATTAGAGGTCCTAAAGAGCATATGAGAGAAACGACAGCTACAGTTTCGAGAGTTTCATTGCTTTTCGTACAAGAAAACAAAATGTATTTAATTTATATAAAATAAAAAATAAGAAAGAAGGAAGAAAAAATGTAATGCTCGCATTCGCTCCATATCTTTTTTTTTTTTCTTCGTCGAATTTGACTTACTAAAAACTACAGGGAACTGAAAACGTAAAGCCAATGCGAGTGACAAAAATATAAATCCTTATTGATGAGTCTGCTTCATTAAGAGTAATACATTAGAATTAAATAAATGGAATAGTGTTTTTTTTCTCTTTGTTTCATTTTTGTTGTTTGTTTGTTTTACATATAGAGCTTCTCATTACTTAATCGTCCGGTTGTATTTAAATAGTAAAAGGGGGCATGTTTTTTTTTCTCTTTTTCGTTGATTCAATAAGAAAAAAAAAACAACAATATTGTTATTTTAATACAAAGACTCCGCCGCATTCGACGTACGTGGCTTCTTGATCTTGTCCAGATTCTTCACGACGATGTCGTGCAGTGAGCAGTACCGGTTACGGATCTCTGCCATCATCAGCCATATGCTTAAGTACTCCTTCTCGTCCAGCTCTTGAACGGCGCGTCTGTAGTCGTCCAGGTGTGGATATTTGGCAACTTTAGAAACCAATTTACCTATATAAACGAAAAAAAGACCACACGTTAATATTCTTGTAATGTAGAGAAAATAAGGTGCTCATACCTCGTGAGATAAAGTATCTAGAAATTTGGTCAAAGAATGCAGCAGCTTCAGATTCTACAGATTGCACCTCAGCCAAAGTGTCCTCCTGAATGGACACGCCAAAGTTGTTTCCGTCTTCGATTTTCGGAATCATAAAAGAAATCCACATTTTCAACTGTAAAAGTAAATAATTATTAATAACACCTTCAATTTCTTTGATCACATTTCTAACAAAAAAAAAATAGGAAGAAATAACAAGTCATTTTGTTATTGTTAGATGCTTACCAAATTAGAGTCCTCCATGAGTTTCCTAATGTGAGGCTTTACAATCTCCACAAGCTCAAGCAAGTGTTTATTGCTTGTTACAGTGCCACTGGGCAGAGCCATCACCTTGGTGCCATCCTGCGATATGCTGTTATCATACTTAGTCTTTTTGGCTGGTGGCAGATCATCATGGTTAACCACAATTGGATCGGGCACAGGGATATTCAACTCATAGAATACATCTCTGAAATTACGATTCTTGAACGCTGGCGTCTCCAAGATATCATTCAAGTTAACTATTGTTTCTGGGAAGCCTTTGAGTATGAGGTTCTCGGCTTTCGTCTTCAAAGAATCCTTGTAGTCTTGCACCTGTCAAGTGAGAGAAAAAAAAAACACACAGAATAATTTGTGACACTGAAATCCTTGCAAAAACTACATAAAAATACAATGTCAATTCAGAGGTATCATCACCTTATCGTACTTGATTCTATCCACAGAGTCAAGTCTGAAGTATCTGCTTATATTTTGTGTGAAACTCATGATCGTGTCTTAATAAGAATCGCGCAATTGCTCAGTCTGACAAATACAGTAAATTTTAAACAAAAAAAGATTGGCAGCATGGTTGTTTGATATCCGATTATTTGTATACCGGTAACCCGGTCTAATGCGTTATGGGATTACGTATGAAAATATTGTAAAATGTGCATACCTTCTTGCTCATTTCGTCGGCCATTCTAATAAATAATTATAAACACAAATTACAATTAAAAATAATGTTTGAACTTCACTTAACCTAAAAACCTTGCCCAGCGTCAAATCACTTTAGCTTGCTTGTCTAACGAAAGGACAACCAAATGTACACCGCTGCTTTGAATACTAAAAAAGTAGTATACATTTTTATACTAACGTTCATGTGATGCTAAACATGTTTCAAACTTGTTAATACTTGTTTATTATATAATTTATTGGGTAGACGTGTGTTCTAGATTCATATAGCATTATATAAATAGATTCGATTACATTTTTATATATTAAGTTACACATTTAAGATTCCAATAAACACATACTAAATAATTTAATAAGTTACTTTTAATGTAATTAAAATTTGCTGAATTATATAGATTTAATATTATATTATAATGTAATAGTATTAGTAATAGTAATAGCTTGTAGTATCCAATCAGATCTTATGAATCCTATAAATATTAGAAAAAACTATTAAATAAAAGTAGTTTGAGAGTTTAAGAGAAAATAGGTGCTTTTTTAATATATATAACAATTTTGCGTTTTGGACTAATTATGATAAACTAAGATTTACTATATTAATAACAATTGAAATGGAAAATGATACAATAATAATAGGAAGGACAAATGATATATATTTCAAATTGTATGAATATTTTAGTATTAAGATATTTCAGAACTAATCAATTAAATTATTTGTGTGTTTGAAGTGGTAATTTTTAAAATTTTGATTTAATACAATGAAATAAATTTTCTCTGATTCAATAGTTTTCTCTATGATTTTCAAAAATATTGTTAGTTCCTCGATTTAGTTTTAAGATTCCAATAAACATATACTCAATAATTTAATAAGTAACTTTTAATGTAATTAAAATTTTCTGAATTATATATTTTTTAAGGACTTATATTGAAAATGACTAGCTTCTATTTGTAGATTTAATCTTATATTATAATGTAATAGTATTAGAGCTTGTAGTATCCAATCAGATTTTATAAATCCTATAAATATTAGGAAAAACTATTAAATAAAAGTAGTTTGAGTTGTATGACTATTTTAGTATTAAGAACTTTCAGAACTTTTCGTCAATTAAATTATTTGTATGTCTGAAGTGGTAATTTTTAAATTTCGGTATTAAATAATGACATTTTTTTACTGATTCAATAGTTTTCTCTATGAATATAATAAAAATAATTGATATTAAAAGTATTTCTTAAATATATGTGATTTTCAATAATATTGTTAGTTTCTTGATTTAGTTTTGTGACGAAAATGTTCAAGACAGGAAAAGAAAACGGCTTGCTAGGTTTAAATTATATTGTTTTTGTTTTTTATGTAATTTTAATGTCATGTCCAGTCACTCGTAGAACCATTCGTGAAACCGAAAACTAAAGGAAACCGAGAAAGTTTTCCGAAAGGCGCCGACCGGGAGAGCTTCGCACCAAATTCGTGAAGAGTTTTTTGATGGAACTGAAGATCCATCTGGGTCCAAACATTTCAGATTGCAAATAGATGCGCACGGAGGACACCGCCGGCGGAATAGGAGCGAAGAAGAACGGGATCGACGCACCTGGAGAAGATGCTAATAACATCAAGGTGCGCGAGTACATAAATTCAGCAGTTTACGTGGAGACCATCTACGAGATGGCACCGTGCAAGCAGAACGGCGCCGTCTACATGAACATCCCGGCCGGTGGAGACCAACCTAAGATGGTCAAGGTCTGCATCATTTCCATACGCTTCGATTCACACTACTTATTAATAATATGTGATCTTAAGGTGAAGAGGTGCGTGTGCTTCACCAATCCCAAGGAGTGCCCGTGTCATCCGCGGACCTTAACCGATTTCGATGACCAAATCCCGAGTCCCATTGAGATCAAACCGAAATTCACCTCCTCTACCACGGCTCTACTGACCAAGACCACAGAAAGAGCTAACAGCTTCGACAGCGATAGCGGGATCACCGTCAAAGCGACCAACTCGACTCAGGATGATCTGCGACTGTCCATCGCGTCTCTGACAACAATGAGTACAATCAGGATCATCGATGAGCAGACCAAGGAAGAGAATTTTAGGAACTGGTGTGCAAGGAAGGACCAAGAGCGTAAGCTGCAGGAGCAGAAAGCGTTGCTCCTGAACGAGATGAAGAGGAAGCAGCGCGAGCAGCAGCTCGAAATTGAGCGCGAGAATTTTCTTCGTTGGTTGGCTGGCAAGAAGAAGGACGAGGAGATAAAGAAGCGCGAAGAGGAGGAGAAGATCTTGGTGGAGGAGCGCAGGAAACAGGAGGAACGCGATAAAAGGATGCGGGAGAATGATCTAAATTTCCAGTTATGGCTGAAAAGGAAAGAGGAGAAGCTATTAGGTATTTACGTATTTTAAGCGAAAATTCATATAACACGTAACCGATTATTGCAGAAAAGAAACTTAAGGATCAGATGTCTTTAATTAAGAAGGAGGACGAAAAACAGAAGCGTTTGGGTTATAGCTCCAAAGCGTACGAGATCTGGTTGAAGCAGTCGAAGACGAAGCAAAAACCTGTACCATTAAATCGCGGCCTAGAAAGTATCAAATCTTACTCTTCTTATAAACAAACGCACATACAGATTAATCTTTTAATTTTTTTTAAGGTTTGAAATCTTCGGTTTCGGTAACTTATATAAATCCTCAGCCCTGGGTGCCCAACATCGACATGACTCAGAAGCCGACATCACAATGACACCTAATGGATCGGCCGACAACACTTAATGTTAAGAATATAATTAGAGGTGTAATGACGAATGTAAATGAAGATATACATTCATTGTACACAATTTATTAACAAATATAAATCGTTTTCTAATACATAAATATTCAATCTTTCCATTAACGACTATGTAATACAAAAAACAAATATCAAGTGCATATCAAGATAAGGCCACTCAAGTGCTTTAAATGTACGATGATTGTGCTGCTTAGAAAGTTTCCTCTTCCTCCTGGAGCCGCAGAATATCGGATTTGTTCATGAAGTAATACGTGGGTTGACGACCCTTCAGATCTTTCGCTACTCGCTCTGCACCGGCCTTCACGAGGACCCTACTAATTGATTCGATCTTCTCGATGCCAAGAGCATAGTGCAATGGTGTCCTCTCCAACTACAACAAAGATTCGTTAAATTACATTCCAAAAGTAAACAAATAGTAATAATTACGTTATCTCCAATTCTTAAGGTGTCATTAAAAGTGTTCGCTAAGTAATCAACGATCTCTTCTTGTTGACACAAAACTGCGATGTGCAGTGTGCATCTGCCGTAGCTGTTCTTCCCGATTGCCAGCAACTTTCCGCTTCCTGTCTCGTTCTCATCCGCGAGCATTTCCTTGATCTCAGCCATGTTTCCCTCCCGAATCGCATGGTGCACCCTCTCCCTGCGTTCCTGCAATAAAACCATAGAGGATCCCCAAACATTCTCATCGCCAATAGAAAAATGGCTCAAACTTACAACAAACTATATTTACCTCGAATGCTAAAATTGAGTGTAAAAAAGCGACAGTGTCCGGTTGGTCGGCATTCCCAACCGCTTCGATAATAGGAATTCCATCCTCATCGATAATATCGATGATGTGATCGTATCCATCCAACAATAATTCCACCAATTTGTCAGTGTCACCTAAAACAAATTGATATTAATTAACGCGCAAGAATACCACTTTCCTATACCTTTCGAAGCAATCTGCAAGACGTATCTGTCGATCTCCACTGTGTTCTCAGGGATGCTAGCTTGAATGCTGATATCTCTTGCAGTGCGATACAACTCATCGCGAAATCCAATATTGATTTCAGTTTCAGTGAGCAATTGGTAAAGGGCGTTTCTTCCGTGCGATCGGGCGGCAGCAAAATGCAACATGCTTTGACCATGTTCATCCTAAATGAACAAATGCAACTAATATATATAGAGAAAAAAAAACCGTTATTTTAATCGATTTACTCTGCTGGTAGCGTTGAAGGCGGATTCATCAGGATTGGTCATCTCTTCAGGTTCGAGCGTGACAACGTCGATATTTGCAGGAACAGCGTTGTTCGTGTCTACGTTTGCAGGAGAGCCGGTTGTAATTATTTGCTGGTTTTCCTGTTGATACAATTTAACAAATGTATTTAATCCTTAGTTAATTTTAATATTTGTTACTTGAGTTCTTCCTCTGGATTTGGCGCGGTTATTGTTGTTGTTAGCGAAGTTGTAAAGGTACTGAGCCAAGTAAGCGATCGGATCTTCGGGTCTTTTGTTTGCCACCTCCGTCAATCCCTTGATGAGCGGATCTCCAAGAGCTGGAACAGAGGCGATTACTGTTTCTGGATTAATGCAACTATTTGCAAAAGTGCGGCTCACTTACAAGATGCTAAATATCTACCCTCCTCCGTGCAGAAAAAAGGCATTTCTACTGGCGCATTTGGAGCATCTGAAACAAGCAAGATTTACACGATTTAGGATCCAATTAAATAAAGTGCTTATTCTTGTGATTTTAACGAGAAATAAAGAAGGCGTGAAAATACATATAGAAGCGACACCAGTTTACGGAAAGAACACGACACACTTGAGGTACGCAAATAGGTGTATTTACCTAAGATGCATTGGTCCTTAGGCACTGTTTCGTGATTTAAATTATTTGGCACTATGTACATAGAAAACAAGTTTTTTTTTTTAAATTTAATTAAATTTTATTTTAAATGAGAGCAATCTAAAAGTCGACTGCGCTCGTCTTTTTCCTTTTGAACATGTTAACAAAGAGAGCGGCGATGTGCATCGAATTGGACATGGCCAGATCCTTCTCCAGTTGCAATATATTGGCAACGGCTGTGCAGAAATCTTCGAACGTTTGTATCTCCGTTATTCCGAGGCATTGTTGATTCCCGATTCTCACCACGTCGGTGCTTTGCGAGTTCCTGTGAAACGTCAGACCTCGCACGTGGCACAGATGCCTCAGGTTTTCAGGCTCCTTTATTAAATGCGGAAATCTCACGTTCAAACAGAATTGAAGCGTGTTTCCTGCGATTGTAGGCCTCGCAGATAGAAATCCTAGTTTTTCATCGCGAACGAATTCCAATTTTTCAGATAAGCACTTCATCAGCTTGTTGACTCGAGTGTATATTTGACCTACGTTCCCTGGTTTCGCTTGGGAGGAACAAGTGATCAAGCGAAAGTGATCCAAAACGTTGATCCAGACAGCTAAGTTACAGCTGTTGCTCACGAAGACGCCTCTTCCGTAAGGCCAATGCTTTCCGTGCAATCTATCAGAATCGGGGATGTTCCAAAGAGGAATCATCAGGCCGTTAGAGGCTAAGATAACGCGCGCTTCGCTCGGATCTTCTAAGATCTCATTCATTGTGTAGTACGTTCCACTACCTTTATCTTGGATCTCTTCTTGCGTTGCGTGCGGATATAAAGTGGTAGCAATTTCATCGCTGAGAAGAGCAGATGTTATCTGTCTCTCGACAGCTTCAAGATCACCTACGTTCAAGTAATTGGGAAGCTGATAATCTTGCATGTTTCTTGTTACTTCCAGACTTCCAGAAAGTACGTGCTTCGCGTGCACATCCAAATCAAGATCAATTTCAGTCACACTTCCATCTTCGCTCACTGCAGAGCTGAATGTAGCTTCAGGATGATCGTGCAAATCTAAATGCACATCAAGGTTATTCACATCTTTGATTATCGGCAAGACAAACTCTGCAAATACTTTGTACGATGAGTAATCCGGTATAATTATCCCAGCTGGGAAGTCGTGGTCCATGTTTATGCGAAACGATTGTTCGATGGGGAGCTTCTTCACGCTCGGCCAGATCAGGTCGTAGAGGTTGTGGTCATAATTTGTGAGGCGAGATTTGACCGCATCAAAGATATATCTTCGCGTGTGTTTGCTCAAGACCGAGGAATACGATGGATTGGTGACGGCTGAGGAAATTGTACCGGTGGATGCGGCTGATGTCGCGTTCGAATTTCTTCTGCCGTGCAGCAGATTGTAACAACGTTCTAAAACCGCAATCATGTCCTCATCGTCGAGTTCTTTCCTCGCTGATTCGCAGTCGTCCGGAACTGTGTAAGCAACAAACAATGTGCAAGAAGTAGTTTGTTCGAAACTATATACATTGATGGAATGCGATAGAGGCTTGTATAATATATACACGACAGGCAAACAACTTAAACACATCTATCCACGAAAGGTGTTCACAATAATCTAAGGACATTCATATTTAAACTGATTAATTGATAAAAGTTTTCAGCATCATCAATTGATGTAAACACCTTTCGCATAAGCAACAATTATGTAAAACGCCAATTACCTTTATCTGAAAGCATCTCTTCGGAAATGACCTCTGCTCCGAAATCGCGCAGCAAGTTGTTGTGATTGAAATCGCTCGAGTTGACCCTGTAGAACTCGGGTGTATTCCCGAACTAAATTCAAATAATATAGAAATCATGTTAATTTAATTCCTACAATCTCACCTTGTCTTCCGCTCTGGTGTTGGCTCCTAAATGAACCAAAAGATTGTAGTAGTGTCCGTTATCAGGAACAACAGCTGCGTAGTGAAGAGGTGATCTGCTATTATCGTCTGTGACACCAACAGTTTCTGGAAATCTTCCTGCTAAATACCGAACGATGCTCGTGTTCCCAAAGACTATAGCCACGTGCAAAGGAGAAGCTCCGTTTGGAGAAATCTTATCTTTGGCGATTGCAAACTTGCGTCTATCCAATGCGGCTTGCAGCTCCTTCAAGCTACCGTCTCTTGCAGCCAAGTGAATCTTATTAATTTTAGACTGAAAATACATTGATTTCGTTAATTATTCAATACGACTTATTGATCGACAGACCATGTAAACTGTGACGTTGTCTAAAAAAGACTGCAGCTCCGGGATATCGCTTGTGTGTCCCATCAAACGTTCACCTTCACCATTTAGAACCAATCCAGCTAGATGCTCCATATTTCCCTCCTCCACCATCGCTGCTATTTCCGCATCGTCTTTACCATCATCTGCGGCCCCTTGTCCTTCTTCATTCACAGACTCGATTTCGTTTTCTCCATTCACAATGCCCTCGATCACTCCTTCGCCTTCAACGATCGCCTCGGCCAGATTTTCTATCAATTCATCTTCTGCCTTTCCTTCATCGTCAACTTTCTCAGGCTCTTCGTCAGGATTTTCAGTTGATTCTTCAACTTTATTTTCGTCATCTTTTTCATTTTCTTCTTCTTCTTCATGTGGAGGCTGAGTTTCCTCTTCGGCTGCTTCTCCAATTTCCTTTTCTCCAGCTGCTACTTCATTATCTTCTTCTTTTGGAGATGCCTCAGTTTCTTCTTCTGTCGGAGCTGCTTCAGTTTCTTCTTCTTTCGGAACTGCTTCAGTTTCTTCTTCTTTTGGAGCTGCATCAGATTCTTCTTCTATCGGAGCTTCTTCAGTTTCTTCTTCTTTCGGAGCTGCTTCAGATTCTTCTTCTTTAGGAGCTACTTCATTTTCTTCTTCTTTTGGAGCTGGTTCAGTTTCTTCTTCAGCTGTAGTCGCATGCTCTTCTTCCGCAGCTGGTTCCTCTTCTGCTGCAGGTTCATCTACCTTAGCCTCTTTCTCAGCTTCTTCCGGATCATCTTTCTCTTCCGGTTCTTCATGACTCGATTTTGCATCTCCATTCTCCGCGGTATCTCCATTCTCTGCATTATGATTAACTTCCTCTTCCTCGTTTCCATTAGTCTCCTCCACATTACCATTTATTTCCTCGCCATTGGTTTCTTCAGCTGGAGATATGACTTTGGCCATTTCTTCAGTCGGTGTCGCAGCAATACCCAAGACGCTCCAATCCAATGGCGCCTGTTCTCTAGCCTTTCGAGGACAATCCGGAATGACCTGCAAGACTTTGGAATCGAGCTCGTGCGTACGCGTCTTGTAGAACGCTGCGCTTTTCGATTTCTGAAAAACATTTATAAAGATTTTCTTGAATTTTTTAAAACCAAAATTTACATTATCTAAAGCTCCTTCGTCCGCGCCTGCTTCTACCAAATAATCAAACATTTTTCCGCCATCTTTCGAAAGGACAGAATAATGAAGAGGTGTTCTACCCTCGTTGTCCACCAGCGCAACGCTCTTCGGATTCTGCGTGATGATATATTCCGCAACTTCCTGCAAACCTAAACCCGCAGCCTGAAATTAATTGAAAGCCAATTAGCGTATCTTTCATTTGGTATTGTTCGATTTAGATACTTTGTGGAGAGGTGTTAAACCGTTGAAATCTTTGGCAATTACTAGCGTGTTGGGAGCTGGAGGTGCCGTCTTTTCCTTCAAACCCTCCAAGTCGTTGTTGATAACATCCGTATGCACTCCGGTGATTACACCCTGAAGAAATTCAAACAAATAAAATTACTTTCCCCCTAAATCTTCATATAACTCACCAAGATATGAGGGATCGCTTCCAAGAACCGCTTAACTCTCGGATTGTTGCTGTGCTCCACCAGAAGTCTGTTTCCGTGACCCTCCCAGATGACCTGCTGCAGACTGCTCAGGTCTCTCTGATGAATCCAAATCCTGATGTTGGACTTCTTGATGTTCAAACCTGAAATGGAATCCTTCATGATTGGTGTACGCGCATGTGAGTGGCTCGCAGGAAAATGAATTGTTGTTCGAGCAGCATACGTCGCATGTTCTAGTCTGGTCACATGACCTGCTCAGCGTTAATAATTTAGTATTTTCCTATTATATTATTGATTGAGCTTTTCCTGCTTTAACATACATCGCTTTATCACGTCCATTTCTTCACACATGCACACATACATACTTTTAATTACAACAACAATTATCGATTCGCATTTGTTGAATCACCAACAGCAACAACAACCACACACGAAAACAAACAAATGAAAAGAACCATTATTACCTGGAACAAACATACTTCGATGGTCTCTGAACAATTTCCTGTACCGATCGAAAGCCGAGTACAATTGCTGCTTGAGCATATTCCGATCACTTCAGTTTTAATTACTTTGCTCTTCCACTTTACAACAAACCAAAATACTTGGAAAATCATCAAAAACATCAGTAAACTAATTAATTAAAATATATATCTTCAATTGTTTTATGACTACATTAAAAGTGGTCTTTTCACGTCTTTTGATACAAATGCTATTACGTAATATTAATTAATAACTGACGTATAGCGATTTTAAAAAAATAGTTCACTTCTTCACGTTTTATTTAATTACTCAAAAACCACGCTTCTTAATTAGATAATCAAATATCCATATTAAAGATAAAAGTATGGCCTTCCAATGAGCCTAATATCATTTTCGGTATTTCGTATTTTACTATTATTACCTTTTAAATGTTACCTAATAATATGAAAAAAAAATTGTTAAAGAGAATTTCCAGAAGAAGAATTTTATAACTACATCTCAAATGGTCTTCCATTGCCCATCTAATGATATAAATACTATTTTGAAATGTTAATTAATACTTGAGATATTACGTTTTTCTTTTTTCTTGTTAAGTCTTCACTTTTTATTTAATTACTCAAAAACCACGATTCTTAATTAGATCATCAAATATCAATATTAAAGATGAAAGTATGGCCTTCCAATGAACCTAATATTACATTTTCGGTATTTCATATTTCACTATTATAACCTTTCAAATTTTACCTATTAATTTAAAAAAAAATGTTAAAGAGAATTTTTAGAATAATTCGAAAATTGTACAACTTTTTATGTATTTTTTAACTACATATCAAGTGGTCTTCCATTGCCCATCTAATGATACAACTACTATTTTAGAATGTTAATTAATACTTGAGATATTACGTTTTTCTTTTTTCTTGTTACGTCTTCACTTTTTATTTAATTACTCAAAAACCACGCTTCTTAATTCGATCATTAAATATCCATATTAAAGGTAAACTTATGGTCTTCCAACGAGCCTAATATTACATATTTGGTATTTCATATTTTACTATTATAACCTTTCAAATTTTACCTATTAATTTAAAAAAAAAATTAAAGACAATTTTCAGAATTATTCGAAAATTGTAAAACTTTTTATGTATTTTATAACTACATATCAAGTGGTCTTCCATTGCCCATCTAATGATGCAACTACTATTTTGTAATGTTAATTAATACTTGAGATATGACGTTTTTCTTTTTTCTTGTTAAGTCTTCACTTTTTATTTAATTACTCAAAAACCACGCTTCTTAATTAGATCATCAAATATCCATATTAAAGATAAAAGTATGGCCTTCCAATGAACCTGATATTACATTTTCGGTATTTCATATTTTACTATTATAACCTTTCAAATTTTACCTATTCATTTAAAAAAAATTAAAGAGAATTTTCAGACTTATTCGAAAATTGTAAAACTTTTTATGTATTTTATAACTACATATCAAGTGGTCTTCCATTGCCCATCTAATGATACAACTACTATTTTGTAATGTTAATTAATACTTGAGATATTACGTTTTTCTTTTTTCTTGTTAAGTCTTCACTTTTTATTTAATTACTCAAAAACCACGATTCTTAATTAGATCATCAAATATCAATATTAAAGATGAAAGTATGGCCTTCCAATGAACCTAATATTACATTTTCGGTATTTCATATTTCACTATTATAACCTTTCAAATTTTACCTATTAATTTAAAAAAAAATAAAGACAATTTTCAGAATTATTCGAAAATTGTAAAACTTTTTATGTATTTTATAAATACATATCAAGTGGTCTTCCATTGCCCATATAATGATACAAATACTATTTTGAAATGTTAATTAATACTTGAGATATTACGTTTTCCTTTTTTCTTGTTAAGTCTTCACTTTTTATTTCATTACTCAAAAACCACGCTTCTTAATTAGATCATCAAATATCCATATTAAAGATAAAAGTATGGCCTTCCAATTAGCCTATTATTACATTTTCGGTATTTCATATTTCACTATTATGACCTTTCAAATTTTACCTATTAATTTAAAAAAAAATGTTAAAGAGAATTTTCAGAATTAATTCGAAAATTGTAAAACTTTTTATGTATTTTTTAATACATATCAAGTGGTCTTCATTGCCCATTAATGATATCAAATACTATTTTGTAATGTTAATTAATACTTGAGATATTACGTTTTCTCTTTTTTCTTGTTAAGTCTTCACTTTTTATTTCATTACTCAAAAACCACGCTTCTTAATTAGATCATCAAATATCCATATTAAAGATAAAAGTATGGCCTTCCAATTAGCCTATTATTTGTAGGTATTCTATTGAATACATTATCTAATTATAATTTATA